GCACAGCTCGGCCTACCACGTACATTCAGATTTTCGGATATCGTAAGATAATGTACAGGTTTGCATTCATTTGTGCCTGGCCATCACAAATCCTCGAAGGTCTGTTGTAACCAAACGTACCACGACGCCGATGTTCAACGTCATTGCTTCTTAACTTTGCCCCTGTCTTGTAAATTCGTGATTATTTTCTCTAATGTTTTGTCGTGTCTAAAATATTTTCAGTAGTTCTGTTTTTGTGCTTCTCCGTGTTTACACAGAAGGTTCAAGCAATTTGATTTACTCCATCAGTCTCTTTAGTCACGGGTATCTCTTGTGCTGTGTTTTCCTCTGTCACTTCATATTTCACTTCGGCCGTTATGTCTCGGCACACTGAGAAATCCAGTTTCCTTGTTTCTTCGCCAGACGCATATCCGAAAGAGCTATGTGAACTGAATATTTATTTATGACTTTGGCTGCGGATGGCATTACGACCGTCACAGCTGCTTCTAATCGACTTACTGAAATACACACATTTTATTCTTTTACTAAAGTCACCATTAAGGCGTATGGGGGAGTGGATGTATAGATCAATCTTTTCTTGACCTCGGCACTACCTGGAGGTGAGTGGTCAGCTTCACGCCTCGGTCGATTTAGCCTCGGGGAAAGAGCCCCCGTTACCCTTTGGATAGGAGGTTGGGTGGACCACAGAGTCGATCTGGACGAGTTGGAGAAATGATAATTCTTGACCCTGCCGGGTCTCGAGCTCCGACTCCTCGATCATCCAGCCCGTAGTCAGTCGCTATACCTACTGCGCTATTCCGGCTCCTTATTTGTTTCTGTGCCAATATTTAAACATCCATTCATGTACTGACGCTTAACGATGGGTAGCGAACATGTTTTTCAAGTATCTTATTCGCCTTTCAAGCTCAACCACACTGATTCATTGTTCAGACTAGACAAACACAATGGCAGCCCTGGTAATGTGGTCAGAATGGTGACTAGAATGCAGACTGAAGGACCGAGTTTCAATTTCCTCCACAGCGTCCTGACCAGCTCTGCGGCCCACTTAGGCTGGGGCCACACGACCGCACAAAATGCATCCATTGTAACGAACGTCGTGACGTCCGTTGTAGAAATAAACAAGAGAGGCGAATTCTACGCTTTCTTCTGGCTCCATTGCAGACAAAAAACTAGGCACCGCACTCTGCAACTGTGTGATGTCTTCAGCAACGTCCGTCATAAAATACGTTCGTTGCAGACCTCCAATCTGACCACTAGCTTCTCTGTTCAGCGTCAACGTTAAGAATACACTCTAAACATACTTCCTCATGACTTGGGCCTTACTGAGGGACGGGGTTAACTTTACCGCTATCTGTAACCGTACAACAAGAAGCACAGCTGTTGGATTCTGTCATACTTCGTGGTCTGATTTCTCTACAGTGTACAATGTGAAATCATTACAACTGAAATTTCGCAACATTTTATATAATGAGACTCAATATATGGGTTCAGGTGAGAGCATAATCCGTCACGGTAGAAGAAGAATATATTTGGTTCCTTTGAGCAATTAGTAAGGATATATCGTGTGATAAGTTAAAAAATATACTGCGTTGTAAGAATTCGAAGTATGTGACACAAGTAGATGTGAAACAGGACTCGTTTAGGGTTTGCTTGTGCAGATACTCTCTGTTCGTTCGCCTTCAACCGGGTCTGTCGAGTCGCGGATGATTTGATCGCACGTGGGCCTCACAGCTGGCAATGAGACATTTCCGAAGTAGGCAAACCCGCGTGAACCCGAATGACCAGCTCGCTACAACGCAATACGCTTTAACTGCTAATAGCTCGGATTCCGTTTGACTTAAGGCAATGGATCATGAACACACTTTATGCAGACACACGTACGTACGGTAATAGATGAGTTGATGTGCCCGGGATATTGATTTGCAATATTTTAATGGGCCCGCAAGTGGGATATCTCAAAAACACTGTATGTCTGTCTTGTTTGGAACATG